GCGTGAGTGTGTGTGTGTGTGAGAGTGTGTGAGTGTGTGTGTGTGTGTGTGTGTGTGTGTGTGAGAGTGTGTGAGTGTGAGAGTGCGTGAGTGTGCGAGTGCGTGTGTGAGAGTGTGTGTGTGAGGGTGCGAGTGTGTGTGTGTGTGTGTGCGTGTGCATGTGAGAATGTGTGTGCATGTGTGAGTGTGCGAGTGTGAGAGTGTGTGTGCATGTGTGTGTGTGTGCATGTGAGAGTGTGCGTGTGTGTGTGTGTGTGAGAGTGCGTGCATGTGTGTGTGAGTGTGCAAGCGTGCAAGTGTGTGCGAGAGTGCCTGCATGAATGTGAGTGTGTGTGTGTGTGTGAATGTGTGAGAGTGTGTGTGTGAGAGTGTGTGTGTGAGAGTGTGCACGTGTGTGTGTACGTGTGAGTGTGTGTGTGTGTGTGAGAGTGTGTGCGAGTGTGTGTGTGAGTGTGTGCGAGAGTGCCTGCATGAATGTGAGTGTGTGTGTGTGCATGTGAGAATGTGTGTGAGTGTGAGAGTGTGTGTGTGAGAGTGTGCGTGAGTGTGCACGTGTGTGTGTGTGAGTGTGAGATATTTCAGTTTTTCTTTTTTAATAAATCTGCAAAAATGTCAACAATTCTGTGTTTTTCTGTCAATATGGGGTGCTGTGTGTACATTAATGAGGAAAAAACTTAACTTGAATGATTTTAGCAAATGGCTGCAATATTGTTAAGAGTGAAAATTTTAAGGGGGTCTGAATACTTTCCGTACCCACTGTATATTGTTTTTAATTTAATGTTATTATTTAATTACATTTTTAGATTTTAATGATTTAATTAATTATTACTAAATGTTTTAATTTGATTGATTTATTTTAATTGTATATATTTTTATGATTTAATAGTTGATTAAATCAAAGTTCAGTAAAAATCAGTGTTTTATTGTATGTTATATTAAACATCAGATTTATCCGGTTATAAGAGAAGAGAAGGTTGATAGACCAGGATAAGTCACACTGTGGCACTTTTGTGTGTTTTAATACTTGCTAAAAGTATCTCAGTGGTCCGCAGCAGGCTGATCTGATTCTTGGCTGCTCTCTTTGTAAAATGGGTCCATTAAATGAATAATTTCTGCGTAGGAGCAGAGTGATTAGTGAACGAGCAGAAGAGCACTACAGATCCGTTAAAGAGCGTCTGCGCTGTGAGTGTTTCTGCTCTGTCTGTGGGCAGAGAATTACTGCATCAGTCACGTGCGTCTCATCAAGAGCGTTCATTAAAAACACATTATTCGCCTCTGAATTAACCTCTCAAAATTAAATCTCTCAAAACCAAATTGCTCCAATTATAATTAACAAAACCGCACTGGATTCGCTGATGACTGACAGCTGTTTGTGGTTCAATACTTTATTCACCCGCCAGTCAGAAATACAGTGGTTTTGTTTATTAAGGTCACATGCATGAATCAATTACTTTGAGATGTATTTGTTTTGTATGCATACTGTATTTATCACTGTTACATTAAAACCAGCTTGTAATGTGATTATCATATGTATAAATTCATACACAATTGTAGCAATATACTCTACTGTTCAAATGTTTGGGGTCGGTAAGATTTAAGAAGTCTCTTCTGCTCACCAAGGCTGCGTTTAGAGTATAATTAGCTGTATATAAAAACAATAGAAGTCAACGCAGTAACTGGATCAAATCTGGATGACAGATCTCATCGTGCCAAATGTGAATTTAAAGGATTAGTTCACTCCAGAATAAAAATGATAATTTACTCGCCCCCATGTCATCCGAAATGTTCATGTCTTTCCGTCTTCAGTCCCAAAGAAATAAAAAAAATTTTAAGGAAAACATTCCAGGATTTTTCTCCATATAATGGACTTCAATGGGGATCAATGGGTTCAAAGTGCAGCTTCAAAGAGCTCTACAGGATCCCAGCCGAGGTCTTATCTAGAGAAATCATCGCTCATTTTATATTTATATACTTTTTAACCACAGACGCACACCTTGGCTGGGACCCTGTAGAGCTCTTTGAAGCTGCACTTTGAACCTTCACTCCGTTGGTCCCCATTGAAGTCCATTATATGGAGAAAAATCCTGGAATGTTTTCCTCAAAAAAACTTAATTTCTTTGCAACTGAAGACAGAAAGACATGAACATCTTGGATGACATGGGGGCGAGTAAATTATCATTTTTATTCTGGAGTGAACTAATCCTGTAAACAGGCTGGAGTCCAAATATTCCTCTCAGAGCAGTCTCTGTCCGAACATGTTGAAATCCTTCACACAGTCGTGTGTAACCTGAGGCTCCCGCTCGTCTCAGTCTTCAGAGGAGTGTGTTTGTGTTCGCAGGCCGCAGGACGCCGGTGGGCCCAGCGTTCAGAGTCTGTCCATATCTGACAGTCACCTGGCGGAGCTAGACAGCGAGACGCTGCGTCTGTTCGGCCCCGGGGCCCTGGAGACGCTGGAGCGCTGCTGGGGCGTTCAGACAGCCGCGAGCGTCACCGCCGTCGCCTTCAGATACATCCACTTCGACTCCATCATTCCCATGTTCCTGCGCATCCGCCTCAAATTCCCAAACCTCACGGTGAGGATCACAGCGGTCGTGACAGGCGTTTGCAGATGTCTGAGCTCGAGGCAGATTAAAATGAACCAGTGCAAGCACAGCAACTGACTCCGATAGTGTTTCGATTAGTGTATAATAAGTTGTGGTAATAACATAAAAGGTTTGCTTATTTGCAGATCTTATATTCAGGTTATATGAAATAGTTTAGTAATATCAGACCAGCAAGAGCGCTGCTTTTCCGCAATATCTGCACCACTGCAAATGTGATATACTGTAGATGTATAGAACAGCTCAATAAACAAGTTCATATTGTGCTACATTTTAGACTCAAAATCGTCTTTGTTTATATTTTTGCAAATGAAAATACTTCCAATCAAAGTCACAGCAGAACTGTTGAGTCTCTGATCAACACACAGTACTGATTCGCTACTGGATGAATCCATGTGTTTGAATGAATCAAGTGAGTCATTGATTCAGTAAGTCACTCATAAAACGGTCAGCTTCATTTCTGAATGAATCAGCTTTTTGAATAAATTGAGTGAGTCAGTGAGTCATTCATAACGACATTCACTTGCTTCATTTCTGAAGGAATCAGCCGTTTGAATGAACTGAGTGAGTCAGTGAGTCATTCATAACGACATTCACTTGCTTCATTTCTGAAGGAATCAGCCGTTTGAATGAACTGAGTGAGTCAGTGAGTCATTCATAACGACATTCACTTGCTTCATTTCTGATTGAATCAGCTGTTTGAATTAATTGAGTGAGTCAGTGATTCAGTGAGTCATTCATAACGACATTCACTTGCTTCATTTCTGAACGAATCAGCCGTTTGAATGAATCATGACCGTTTTAACACACACGTCTCATGCTGTTGCATCCTGCGCAGCACCTGATGTTCATGGAGACGAGCATCACTCATCTCCCTCAGCTGGCGGCTCTGGCTCAGGTGCGGCGTCTGGAGCAGATCAGTGTTCATCCAGAGTGGAATCCAGTGGTGAGACTGACGCTCTGGAGATCCTTCCTCATCTACAGACTGCAGCACCTCAACCTGCAGAAGATCAACGGCACTGAGGTGTGAGCAGCAGCAGTCAGTGTGTGTGTGTGTGTGTGTTGGGAGCATGTGTGTGATGATGTTTGTGTTTCAGGTCACCATGAATGAGATCATGGCCTCGGAGCGGATGTTCGGCGCTCTGGGTCACATCGCTGCTACAGAAACGCCACGCTGCCGCCTGCTGCTGCTGCTGGAGGAGTCCAGGTGTGTGTGTGAGAGATCCTTCAGCACAGACTAAAATACTCACATTACCTGTGAAATACCTGAGTGTGTGTGTGACGACAGGCCAGTGCATGTCCACAGCAGCTGCCATCCTACAGCCTGTGTGTGTGTGTGTGTCCAGGATTATTTAAGTGCTCCAGAACTTATGGTATTAAAAAAAATTTTCTTGTGCTGTACAGAAAATCTTTTCATCCGTCTGCTGCACCCATGAGCACCTGGGAGACTTTAAAAAGTGTTATTTCTGGACCTGGAAAAGTCATAGCAATTCATACAATTAAAACACCATGGGTATTTTATTTTATTTATTTATTTTTATTTTTTATTTTACCTGAGCAGAGATGATGCTCTTGAAACTAACATTTAATTTAGTTAAATGTATCTTTTTCTTTAATTTAGTTAAATTTTTATTACTTTAAGTTGGCATGGGCTTCAGACTCAGAGACCTTGCTTTGTGTTCAGCAATTTTATGTAATTTTTATTTATTTATTTATTATTTTAAGTTGGCATGGACTTCAGAGGCCTTTATTTGTTTATCAGTTTTAATATATACTGTATATATATACAGTATATATGTATTCTACTATTTTATGCTGGCCAGAACTTCATGGAATGCCTGGAGCGCCTCCTCACCAAGTCCCTTGTACAACTCTGCAGGGATACTATCTTTGCCGGTTGCCTTGCCAGAGCTCATTTGCTTGATGGCCCTCTGAACCTCAGTTAGGGATGGGGGGGTCATCCAGCTGTTCGAGAGTGGGATTTTGGGGGATCTGGTCGAGGGCTGACTGGTTGACTGCAGATGGGAGGTTGAGCAGTTGTCTGAAGTGTTCTCTCCATCTGTTGTTGATGCCCTGTTTGACTTTGATGAGCGTGGTGCCGTCTGCAGAAAGTAAGGGGGCAGAACCAGATTTTGAAGGACCATAGACTGCCTTGAGAGAGCCAAAGAACTGCCTGGCATTGTTTGTGCCGGCATAGTGTTGTATCTCTTCCGCCACCTTCTCCCACCACTGACCTTTCATCTTTTTGATTTCTCGCTGTGCCTGGACTTAGAGGGACTTGAACCTCTCCTTTTTGGATGCGGACCTTGGGTCTTTCTGCCACTGCAGGAATGCTTTGGTCTTCATGCCCAGCCAGTCTCCAATGGCACTTTCATTCTCATCGAACCAGTCCTGATGAGTGCGTTCCTTGGGGCCTAGCGCCTCCTTGGCTGTCTCCATCACTACATCCCTGAACTGGTTCCATTTCTCAGTTGGATTTCCAGTTAGTGGTCCATTGGCAGACAGCTTCTCATCAGCGTGGACTGAAACTTGTGAAGGTAGGAAGGATCTTGGAGTCTGACGATGTTGAATGCTGAGCGTATGACCTTAGCAAGCCTTGGGTGGTGAGGGACGATGTGCAGCTGGAGTATCGCTCTAACTAGCCTGTGGTCTGTCCAGCATTCTGCTCCCCTCATGGCCCTGGTGACAAGGACGTCTCGGATGTCTCTTTGGCGCACAATGATGTAGTCTATCTTGTGCCACTGCTTTGATCTGTGGTGCATCCAAGTTGTCTTGTACTTGTTCGCCATCCTGAATATAGTGTTCGTGATGAGGAGCTCGAACTCTGCACATTTGCTGAGCAGAATCTATCCAAAAGCGTTCTGACGTTCCATGCTCCCAGTAGGAGCTCCTTTTTTTAAATTCTGTTTTTGTTTCGACCTTCCATGAAGTTCTGACCAGCACCTGGAAAGAGGAAGATATGCCCTCGCAGCTCCGTGACGCCATAATAGTTGCCCTGTACAAGAACAAAGGCACACGAGCAGATTGCGACAACTACAGAGGTATCTCTTTACTCTCCATCGCAGGCAAGATCCTCGCCCGCATTATGCTCAACAGACTACTGACATCAGTCTATGAACAGAGCTTGCCTGAGTCACAGTGTGGCTTATGCCCAGATTACAGGACCATCGACAAGATCATCACAATGAGGCAGGTGCAGGAGAGGTGCCTAGAACAGAACATGAACCTCTATATCAGGGGTGCCCAACCCTGCTCCTGGCGATTGACTGTCCTGAAAAGTTCAGCTCCAACCCTAATCAAACACACCTGAAGCAACTAATTAGGGTCTTCAGGATCACTTAAAAATTAAAGGCAGGTGTCTTTGATTAGAGTTGGAGCTAAACTTTGCAGGACAGTCGATCGCCAGGAGCAGGGTTGGGCACCCCTGCTCTATATAGTCTTCATCGATCAGACCAAGGCAGTCAACACGGTCAACAGACGCCCTATGGGTCATACTCAGAAAACTTGGCTGCCCAGCAAAGTTCACCAAACTGATCCAGTTGTTTCACATCGACATGACAAGAGAAGTCTTGTCAGGTGGAAAGCCATCCGATCAATTTGGCATCTCCAATGGGGTGAAGCAAGGCTCTGTCCTCGCTCCGATGGTCTGGCCACGTCATCCGCATGGACCCACAGAGGATGCCAAAGCAGGTGTTCTTTGGAGAGTTGGCCGCAGGGTCCAGACATCAAGGGCGCCCAAAGAAAAGATTAAAAGATAACCTCAAGTCACATCTAAAATGGGCTGACCTGGACTTCAGAGGCCTTATTTAAAATTAATTTTAATTTTTTTATTCTATTATTTTTTTTAGGTTGGCCGGGACTTCAGAGGCCTTACTTTATTTGTTTAGTAGGTCTCTATGCAGAAGGTTTGCGGGGTTCTTGTTGACTGTAATTCATCTCCACAGTCCCAAATCAAATGACACACAGTAGATCATTCAGACCGCACTCATGAGCATCTCTGATGCATTGGTCCTGCTGCACATGTGTCAGTGGCTCTGTCCTTCCCTCTGTAGGAAGCGGCAGCTGCAGTTCCTGCTGGACGGACGTGGGCGCAGAAGCGGTGTGAGTCCAGACGACCTGAAGGAGAACGGCAAACAGCTGGGAGACGCTTTGAGCCGAGCGCTCTTCAGCTATCCCAGCAGACTGTCCGACGGCCCCGAGGTGAGACCAGCACCACATATACTGAGATTGATCGATCAGCGTCCAGCATCACTGACTCCTCTCTCTGTGTGTGTGTGTGTGTGTGTGTGTGTGTCTCTTGTCTGTGTGCGTGTGTGTGTGTGTGTCAGGAGGGTGGTGCTGATGCGTCGGAGCGCTCTGCGATGGTTCAACAGTATCTGCGAGGGCTGATCCACAGAGCTTCCGGTCACTGCGTGAAGGCAGACGCTCTGCAGAAGCTCTGGCCGTCGCTATAATAGTGGATAATAGTTTGACTGGCCTGAATTTACTTGGAGAGAAACACAAAATATTGTTCACCTTTGTTTAACCATTTAAATAATTATTTATTTTATATGTTTATTATATGCTAATTATTTAAATGTAAATTGTATTTGCAATGACAGCCTGTGAGTTTTTAATGAATATTAATTGCTAATGATTGATTGTTGTGGTTATAAGTAATTTAAGATGAGGAATCTGGATGGGATTAGATCAATTAGTATAGTTAACTAAATCATAAATTATTGAAAAACTTTACTTGCAATAAAATAATCATTAACTGAAATCAAATAAAATTTCATTATTATTTTTAAAAAGTCTACATTTTAAAAAAAGTTTTTTTTTTTTACTATTTTAAAGTATTTACATATGTCCTGAGGTTCTATGAGACTGAAGTTTACCGCACATCTGATGTTTAACCTGTTTGATATGAAAGATGCAGTGATGCTGAACTCATCTGGCCTGCGCTTGAACTGAAGAGGAGCCCTCCCTGGGCTTAACGTGGGAACGGGAGCCCTCTCTGGGCTTAACTTGGGAACGGGAGCCCTCCCTGGGCTTAACGTGGGAACGGGAGCCCTCTCTGGGCTTAACTTGAGAACGGGAGCCCTCTCTGGGCTTAACGTGGGAACGGGAGCCCTCCCTGGGCTTAACGTGGGAACGGGAGCACTCCCTGGGCTTAACGTGGGAACGGGAGCCCTCTCTGGGCTTAACTTGGGAACGGGAGCCCTCCCTGGGCTTAACGTGGGAACGGGAGCCCTCTCTGGGCTTAACTTGGGAACGGGAGCCCTCTCTGGTCTTAACGTGGGAACGGGAGCCCTCCCTGGGCTTAACGTGGGAACGGGAGCCCTCCCTGGACTTAACTTGGGAAAGGGAGCCCTCTCTGGGCTTAACTTGAGAACGGGAGCCCTCTCTGGGCTTAACGTGGGAACGGGAGCCCTCCCTGGACTTAACGTGGGAACGGGAGCCCTCCCTGGACTTAACTTGGGAAAGGGAGCCCTCTCTGGGCTTAACTTGGGAACGGGAGCCCTCTCTGGGCTTAACGTGGGAACGGGAGCCCTCCCTGGATTTAACGTGGGAACAGGAGCTGGAGCCGACACTGGAGTGGACTCAGGAGCTGGAGCCGACACTGGAGCGGACTCAGGGGCTGGAGCCCACAGTCTCTTCCTCCACATTCTCCTTTTTTGAGCAGAGGTGAAGGACACTGCTACTGTCAGCTGAGAGCTTGGGAGTGAAACGGCCGGCGGGCTTGACATAGGAGAGGCTGGCAGGCTTGACAGCGGGCTGGTTCTGAATCGGGGCCGGACACTCTCCAGACACTGGAGGATACCTTCCCTCCAGCTCAGTCCAGTGGTGTCTGGGAGGTCCACTGGGCGATGGTAATTGGCCCCGATCCAGAACAGAGAATTCAGCGTGGCGTCATCCAATGCTGTCATCGCTGCGAGCCCGCAGAATTCCTGGGTGAATTCTACGAAAGGGAGATCCCTACAGGCGAGGGCAGTGAATTTTGCGGCCGTTTCCATGATTGTGGGGTGGGGGAAATTGAAAACAAAACACTTTCAAAAAACGGAAACAAAAACATGGGGAGAAGGGGCACCGCTTACTGTTTGTCGGTCTAGTGTTCTGTCACAGTGCTGCTGCTACTGTGTCGGAGCGAGGAGACATCGTATAATACAGAAATCACAGACTTTACTAACACACGTAGCACAGGAACCTAAAGACGTTTAACACTAGTCCCAGAACAAAGGATAACACAGGACTTAAACCTGTTAAACTCTGCAGGGGGAAAAAATCTGTGAAACATTCATACTTGATGATACAAAATAAAAATATTGATACATTTTTTAACCCCTTTGCAACTTTCTGTTTTGAGACGCAGAAGAGATGCAGGTTTGAGACCAACAACAGACAAATAAAAACACAAAATATATTTTTCTCTGTTCACTCGATCTTGAATGGCAGATGTCACACATAACGCATATACATGTCCATATATTATACATCTAAGTTATACATCGATATCTACTAACACTTTATTTTGATGGACATTCAACTGACTATAACTGAATTTGCAACTACGTGTCAACTTATTCTACTAACCCTAACCTTAACCTAATAGTCTACTTATACTCTAATGAGAGTTATTTGACATGTAGTTGCAAATTAATGAGAATTTGTTGACATGTAGTTGCAAATGAATGACAGTTAATTGACATGTAGTTGCAAATTAATGAGATTTTTTTTACATGTAGTTGCAAATGAATGACAGTTAATTGACATGTAGTTGCAAATTAATGAGTTAGTTGACATGTAGTTGCAAATTAATGATAGTTGACTTGTAGTTACAAATGAATTAGAGTTTGTTGACATGTAGTTGCAAATGTATGATAATTTATTGACATATAGGTGCAAATTAATGAGTTGACGTAGTTGCAAATTAATGAGAATTTGTTGACATGTAAGTTGCAAAGTAATTAGTTAGTTGACATGTATTTGCAAATTAATGATAGTTGACATGTATTTACAAATGAATGAGAGTTTGTTGACGTAGTTACAAATGAATGAGAATTTATTGAAATGTAGGTGCAAAGTAATGAGTTAGTTGATGTAGTTGCAAATTATTGAGACTTTGTTGTCATGTAAGTTGCAAAGTAATTAGTTAGTTGACATGTAGTTACAAATTAATGAGTTAGTTGACGTAGTTACAAATGAATGAGAATTTGTTGACGTACTTGCAAATGAATGAGTTAGTTGACATGTAGTTGCAAATTATTGAGACTTTGTTGTCATGTAAGTTGCAAAGTAATTAGTTAGTTGACATGTAGTTGCAAATAATTGAGAATTTGTTGACGGTTAAAAATTAATGAGAATTTGTTAACATGTACTTGCAAATTAATGATAGTTGACATGTAGTTGCAAATTATTGAGACTTTGTTGTCATGTAAGTTGCAAAGTAATGAGTTAGTTGACATGTAGTTACAAATTAATGAGTAAGTAACGTAGTTACAAATGAATGAGACTTTGTTGACATGTAGTTGCAAATTATTGAGACTTTGTTGTCATGTAAGTTGCAAAGTAATGAGTTAGCTGACATGTAGTTACAAATTAATGAGTAAGTAACGTAGTTACAAATGAATGAGACTTTGTTGACATGTAGTTGCAAATTATTGAGACTTTGTTGACATTTAAGTAGCAAAGTAATGAGTTAGTTGACATGTTGCAAATTAATGATTGTTGACATGTAGTTACAAATGAGGGAGTTTGTTGAGGTGTAGTTGCAAATTAATGAGAATCTATTGACATGTATGTGCAAATTAATGAGTTAGTTGACATGTAGTTGCAAATTATTGAATTTGTTGATGTAGTTACAAATTAATGAGAGTTTGTTGACATGTAGATGCAATTGAATGAGAGTTAGTTGACTGTAGTTAGTTGCAAATTAATGAGTTAGTTGACATGTAGTTGCAAATTAATGAGAATTTTGTTGACATAGTTGCAAATTAATGAGAATTTATTGACATGTAGGCCTAGGTGCAAAGTAATGCAAATTTGTTGACATATAGTTGCAAATTAATGAGTTAGTTGACATGTAGTTGCAAAGTTAATTACAGTTAGTAGAATGTCTAAAGTGGACTATCAGAATAAAGTGTAACCTTAATATCTATTGACTTTTCACATAACATTTAACTGTTTAACATTATTATTACACCCAGGAAAAGGGCATTTTTAACCTTGAGCTTGTTTGCATCGCTTTGACTCATGAAATATTCACACACTTTTTACAGCAGCACAAACTTTCATGCGCTGTGTTTAGTTTCAGCATCTGAAGGAAACTGATGCTGTTTGAAAACACTGAAGAGATGCAAGATATACTCACAAAACTAAAAGCAGTGTGTGTTTATGAACTGACAGGCCTGTCCGTCACCCAGCAGACCAATCCGAGAGCTGCAGTGCTCCACGTTCAACACGCAGCCCTTCATGGGCCGATTCTACCAGTGGGAACCTTTTAATGACGGTGAGCAGATTCTCTCAGTTCATGACATGAATGAGCTTCTTCTGATGGAAAGAATTTAGAGATATTAAAGTTTCACAGGGATTCAAGACATTTGATACACTGTTTCTTCTTACAGTGCCATGCAAAGGTTTGGGGTCGGTAATTTTAAAGTATATTTTACAATATATTAATGTAGAAAACAGATATATTAAATTGTAATAATATTTCACAATATTACTGTTTTTACTGTATTTTTGTTAAACCAAATAAATGCAGCCTTGATGAGTAGAAGAAACTACTTTCAAAAACATTTTTAAAAATCTGACCAACCCCAGAACTTTTCCTGTCAGAAATCTGTTCTGTTACCATGAGGAGAGAGAAACATCCTGAATGACACACACATATTTGTGTTGTTAATTAGCTCTAATGATCATGTTGTAATTAAAGTTGCCGTGCATTTGTGCTGCCGTGGATTTCCCCAACATGTCGGATCCTGTGCAACAGTGAATGTTCTCCTCTGAACAGATCTGATTTATGAACTGTGAAACTGCGCCATTATGTTTATGGTTTGTGTGGAATATTATTCTACCCTCAGGTGATAGATGAACCAACAGTGGAGTCGTGCCAAAGTTTTGTCTTGATGACAAAACAGTTTCTTTTCAACACAGAGGATCAAATGAATTTTTCGGATTTATTCTGGTTTATTTCACCTTCATCACATGTCTTTGATGTTTTCTTTTCAGGCGTCTGATTCAGTTGTGTGATCAGTTGTGCATTAGTACTAGAGCTCATAGTGATTTTACCCTCATAACGCATTCGGGTCCATTTTGACCCAGAAGAGAGATTTGCGATAAAACTTTGCAAATGCTTTAAGACACTCAAAATATATATCATTTTATTATTTTTATGTTTTTATTTTTCATTTTTTTTAAATACATTTGTATTTTTAAAGAGATTTTAAAACCCATTTTTAAAAAATGTTACACGTTCAGTGTCCGGGTCATTTTGACCCAGGTGTGTATGGAGTACCATTAGTGTCAAAAATACTTTTTGTAAAATTATCTATGAAGTTATATTAGGCTACGTCCACACGAAGCCAGAGCGTTCCGATCTTTTTTTTCACCTCGTCTCAAAACATATCTGCGTCCACACAAAGTGGACTATCGAAATAAAGTGTAACCCTTTTTTCGTCTGAAGGTTTATGCAAGTAAAATGACTTTATTTTGTTTGGAAACTTTCCTAATAATAAGTATTATTTATATAGTTTCGATGGTGTTTTGCTTCAAAATGTAGATTTCATATAGATTTATAGAGTTCTAAATTCACATAAATATAATTAAATTCCATTTGTTCCAATGGGGTTAATACTGGTAATTCTCCGATTATATGTTCTTATTTCATGCAATGATTTATTCAAATAAAATGTCTAATTTTGTGTGTGGTTCATGTGTAATTTGAAATGTAAGAATTTCTACATTTTTAATTAATACAAAATGCAGTAATTACATGGTAACATGAAAAAAAAAGTTGTTTTTTCACATTCACTCATTAATGAGAAGTTGCTGATCAGATACACTATGGTTTTGGTGTAGTTGACTCCGTCTCTTATGTGTTTGATCAGTTTCCAGCGAGCAGCGCTGTGAGCTGAACTGCCGTGCCGTCGGCTTCCGTTTCTACGTTCGTCAGGCGGACAGAGTCATCGATGGCACTCCGTGTGGACAGAACCAGACGTCTGTGTGTGTGGCGGGACAGTGTCAGGTAGGAATCAGTAGTGCTGGGCGGTATACCGGTTCATACCGAATACCGGTGTTTATTTTTGTTATGATATGAATTTTTAAAATACCGTGATATACATTTTTGGTCATACCGCCCAGCACTAGGAATCAAGTATTCACTGCACTATTCTGCTTCCATTTTTTGACACGTTCTTCTTAGACATTTATACACTAGACTGAATTAGATATGCAAAGTAAGTGTATTAATTAATGAGTAGCATGCTTCTGCTTCTGCACAGTGCATATGGTTTCATGTGCAGCACAGTATTAAGTGCTGGAGCTGCAGTGCTGCGTGCGGTTGTGCAGTGGAGGGCAGTAGAGATCAATGGAGATGAAAACATCACACAGCTGTTATGCTCTTGTTGTTTGCTGTCATTTACAGTGACTCGAGCGCATGTCTGACAGCTCAAGGGATTGAATCTTGTGTCTCTGTGATTTGAGTTTCTAGTCCAGATCATTTACAGCGTCAAAGTTTCAGCATCATACTGTAATATCCTTACTGTGATGTAAATATTGATATATTATTCAGCTTGAAATGTAAATTTCAAGTATTACAATGCTTGTTTTTATTAAATGCTGGTAACAAAACATGGTAAAGCTTTACAATAAGGTTTAATTTGTTAGGATGTTAGTTAGTATGAACTTGCAATAAACAAAATCTCAAAAATCTTTTATTTATTGTAATAAATGTTCATTTCAACAATACATTTTGTAATACATTGTAATAATATTTATTTATTTATAATAAACAAACATTAATAAAGATTAATAAATGCTTTAGGAAATATAGGTAACACTTTATTTTAAGGTGTCCTTGTTACACGTTACATGTATTTACTTTTATAATAACAATTAATTATGCATAATTATGTGCAAGTAACCCTAATTCTAATCTTAACCATATAGTAAGTACATGTAGTTAATTAGTATTACTCAGTACTTAAATGCATAATTGCACTGTAACAGGGACACTTTAAAATAAAGTGTAACCGAAATATATTTATCATCGTTAGTTCATGTTAACTAATGCATTTACTAATTAACTAGTTAACAAATGTGACTTTATTGTAAAGTGTTACCAAAAATAGGATGATTTTCATTATTGCATTACAGTAATGAGAATTGAGGGATGAAATGTGCTGATTTGTCATAAAAAGTGTTTTATAAAATTAAAAGTTTTATTTCAACCAGTTGCCATGGCAACATTTCTCATTTTCATTTACTCGATGTACTAAAGTAACTAAAACTGAAATAAAAGCTACACAGACATAAAAATACAATGACAAAAACACAAGAGAATTAATAAAACTTTAATATTAAAGTTAAAACTGAAAATGTAAAAATAAAGTCTAATTCAAAATTGTATCAGAAATGTTAATAGCATCTCAATTTCTTCATGAGAACAGAATTTTAGTCATGTGTTGTCCATCATCTCTGTCATCCGTATTAAAGCTCTTCTCTTACAGATATATTGTTCTGCTATTTCATCTGATCTTCCGTTATCTGTTTTTCGGATAAGCATTAATTACCCAGAGTTCAGAGAGGCGTGCCACGTCCTGCATGTAAAGACTGTCAGACGCACAACAGTTGCCGGCTGTCTGAGCCGGAGGATCTTTTGTGTTTGTGAGTGAATTAGCCACGCTTTCAGCGCTCCGGAATCTGCCCGTCGTCCAGCTGTGCTTTTTTCAGACATGTCACTTCAACAAATCCAGCAGAAATAAGATGTAACACAGACGCCGCAATAACAAGCCAGGGCTGCACAAACGCCACTGTCTGCAAAGGTTAAATAATGCGGCGTCGGCTCTGTAGGTTGTTTAGTGGCGTTTCTCTCAGATGCTTTGAATTCTTCTGACAGCTGACGGAGATCAGTCGACAAATCCAGAGCTTTAAGATCTCTTCCTCGGATAACGAGGAGGATCTGTGACGGGATGAAGATTACACACTACAAATCCACCGCATTAGCCTTGACATTCAGATATGTTGGCTGGAACACTGTTTGGGTCGGATTTAGAGTGACTTTTCCAAAACTTGATTCAGTGAGCATTTGAAACTCAGCTAACATGATCATCAGTTTCTGTGTAAATATAAAAGAAACTTGATCACTGCATGAGAATGTTGTACTTGTCAGGGAGGTTGTAGTTATTTGTGCATGTAGTTATTTGGTATAAACAAGTTTTCCTGTCTTGAGTACGCATGTAGTTTCTATGAAACCTTGTTTCGGCCTCAAAATAAAACAAAAAAAGGTAATTGCAACATTTTATCTCACTATTCTACCATTTTTTCTCGCAATTCTAACTTTACATCTCACAATTCTGACTTTACATCTCACAATTCTAACTTTACATCTCACAATTCTGACTTTACATCCCACAATTCTAATCAATTTTGACTTTACATCTCACAATTCTAATCAATTTTGACTTTACATCTCACAATTCTGACTTTACATCTCACAATTCTGACTTTACATCTCACAATCCTGACTTTACATCTCACAATCCTGACTTTACATCTCACAATCCTGACTTTACATCTCACAATTCTAATTAAACCTCACATTACATCTCACAATT